GGTGTGTTAGGGCGCAGAGTCAGTGTCAGAGACGCAGGGGCAATGATGGTGATTTCCTGGAATTTCTCGGCTTTCCATCGACACGCAATCAGCGGGACGCTCGCCGGCGTGGTCGTAGGGAACGCCCCACCGTCCGGTGAGCGCTCCACTGTAGTCATCGATCGGAGAATCGCCCAACCGCCCAACCGCCGCGGTTGGGGGTTGGGCGAAAAGCAGTAGATGTGTATCGATTTCGCTGGCGAAAAACGCCACCGCGATGGAGCTAGCGTTTTGTCGAAGGCGAAAAACGTCGCGGTTTGGCGAAACGCCCGTCGATACGTACCAAAACCCTTTCGCCCAACCGCCAGTCGATATGTATCGAAAGCTTTTCGCCGAACCGCCGCGTTTCAGAGAAACGCTGGACCGCATGTGAACAATGCCTTACTTCTATGGCCTACTCGACCCCTATACGGTGGATCATTGATCGACCAATAATTCTATTCCCCGGGCGTTTTCTCGCGCCAAATTGACCATCCAGCTGAGTGATCACCCTTGATCCCCCACAAGGCCTTTCGCTTCCACGACTCTCGTTCACCGGTGCATGAGGGATCCGTCTCTTTCCTTAACATGTCCCCACTTCGTTTAATCGCCAACCTCTGCGACTGTTCCGGATCGGGGAATAGATGTTACTTGCTCTTCTGCGGATAACTCCATACAATAATTTAGCAGTCGCTACCCGGTGTGCATTATAAAACTGGCACGGTGAGAACCAAATGGTACCGCAAGCCGAGCAATAAGAATATACTTGTTCATTATGATTCGGCACATCCAGCAAGGACCAAGCAAGCGGTCATTGGCAATATGTTCAAAACTGCCAGCAAGGTCTCCTCTGATGTTGCATTGGAACAAGAATCGCTCGATATAGCACGAAAGATTGCGATATCTAACGGTTATCCGGGGTCGCGACCACTACGTACTGGATTTTCCAGACAACGCGGGGTCACAAACGTGACATCTTCCGAAAAAGTACCATTTTGTTGGCCGTTCATCTCGGAAGAAGTTAGCCGGGCGATCCGTACGAGTGTGCAAGAAGACGTTGGTGGAAATACGCCCAAACAACTTGAAACGCCTCCTCGTACGTAATCGTCTTTATGACTATTCATGTGGTACCCCGGAATGTGTGGTTTGCCCCTCCGGTAGAGCAGGTGATTGCATGAAGTCGGGGGTGATCTATTCAATACGCTGCCTCGCATGTGGTAGTGAATATGTAAGGCATTGTTCACAGTCGCCAGGCCCTGACGAAACGGCGGTTGGGAGAAAAGCAATAAATAGTCATCGATCGGAGAATCGCCCAACCGTCCAACCGCCCAACCGCCGCGGTTGGGCGGTTGGGCGAAAAGCAGTAGATGTGTATCGATTTCGCTGGCGAAAAACGCCACCGCGATGGAGCTAGCGTTTTGTCGAAGGCGAAAAACGTCGCGGTTTGGCGAAACGCCCGTCGATACGTACCAAAACCCTTTCGCCCAACCGCCAGGCTCTTCGCCCAACCGCCAGTCGATATGTATCGAAAGCTTTTCGCCGAACCGCCGCGTTTCAGAGAAACGCTGGACCGCAGAGTGTGAACAATGCCTTAAGGGACGGGCTGTAGATGAAAAAGACTACTGTGCAAGTTCTTGGACATCAGTTTCGGAGCATGTTG